GCCTCATGAATAAAAAGATTGTTTTATTCAAAACCGTAGTTCTAACACTTATTCAACACTTGTTACATATAGCAAAACTCAAATCTTTATTGTATAATTAAATGAATTAAAACGAATAAATTTAAAAGTACACTTGTTTTAAAAGAGATTCAAGAGTTATCTCTGGGATGTAGAAATGCAGATTTCAATTAGTAGATATACAGAATATTTCTGGTATAAGTAATCACGATGCCATCAGAAAATTAAAAATATGGGAAGACAAGTAGGCTTGGGTTGTAAAAAACCCATTTGGGATATAGAGAGTCTGACAGCACCACCACTCTTAACTCTGAGTTAAGGAGTGTGCCTGGGTGGCTCTGACAGTTAAGCGTCCGACTCCTGATTTTGGCTCAGATCATCATCTCAGGGTTGTGAAATCAAGCATTGTGTAGGGCTCCTAGCCTGCTTAAGATTCTCTCTCTCCCTCTGTCCTCCTCCCCCAAAAAGTCTAAGTTAAAATTCAAATCCAGTCAATAAGCAATTCTAAAACTGACTACTGTAAGGTCTCAATTAAAATACAAATCTGGGTGTGAACCAACATCTGCAAAGAGAGAGCAAGAAAGAGAAAGTCATCAAAACAATGAGACTGAACAAGGAAAGTTGAGATAAAACCAAATCAGAATCTCAGAAACATTAGCAATTAACAAAAAGCCCACAAATGAGACAATAAAGAGAGCAAAGAAAAAAATTAGAAGACAATAACAGAAATTGTTAATAATGTCAAGTGCCAAAGAGATAAGAATTGGAAATGACCAATTCAATCAGCAATCAATAAGCAGTGAGGACAGAAGTAGTACTACAGTGGACAAGAGTTAAGAAACTGGACAGTGAACAGGGACAATTTTTCCAAGTCTAACTGCAAAGGAAATGAGGGACACAGACATATACCAGAAGGAGTTGGAAGTCAAAGAGTATTGTTTTTAAAATGAAAGACTTATGTGTATTTATATGTTTAAAGGAAGAAGCCACTGGTTGAAAACATGAGAGGGAAAATATCTGAGGCAACATGGTCTGGTCTAAGTATGAATCAGGGATTTTACCTTAACCAACAAAAACAGAACAAGCTTGGCTATGAGAAGGGTTTTTCTTTCTCGGGGGGGGAAAGTATGGATGTGTGCAGATAAAGAGGTGTTACAAGAGACAGCACATCACGGAGGGGCTTAAATGCCGTACTAAAAAAAAATAAAAATAAATAAAATCGGACTTTTATCCAGGGGGCAATCAAGAGCTACTCGAAAGCTTTTAAGGAATGAATAAAATGTCTGTGGCCCAGGAAAGGGGGGGGAAATAACCCCAGGAATCTGATGAAGCCGCTGTGAAACAGGAGCTGATCTGAAAGACCTAAAAATGTGCCAAGAGTAGAACTCCACATCCTCACTTGTACTTCTTAGTAACATGCCGCTATTCAAAGATGCTCTGGCGGACACATCAGTTTCTTGTTTCCTCAGAGAGCTTAATTTTCTTTATTGCCTTGATTCTGTCATGGGCCCCCTTCAACACAATGGTTTTAGTCTACTCTCCTTTCTCTGATTATTAGGAGGAAGAATATGTTCACTGTTTATTTAAGCATGTTCTAAATTTCTTTCTTCCAACTATTCTCCAAAACTACTAAGAGGAAGGAAAAATAAATTGTATAATACAAATAAATTGTATAATACAATTGGAAAAAATTAATAATAAAAAATAGGACAAAAAAATCATCTCTGATATAATATCAAATTTCAAATCTGAATTCTAGGTCAAATTACTGCCATGGCTTAAACAGAATTTGAAAATATCTACCTCTTTTTCTTTATCAAAGTAACAGAAGAACTACCTTAGAATTCATTACACCATCATAAAAGAATCTTCATATGTTGACAATTATATAAAAGAAAAATTTTTAGTAAAACAGGTATTTATAAAAATGTATTAGACTGATATCTGTTTCTCCATAATATGCAAAGTGCTGATAATTCTATCAAGATGATTGTTATGCATATGACAGAAAAATTCACTACCTATTAATGATTAAATGAGTCACTCTTGGAGAAACCATCTTAGTCAAATGTTGAGTTCAAAAGAATTTAAATAAGCCTACTGAAAGATAAGAGAATTTTGAAAACTATCCTTTAACAGACTTAAACTAAAAATTACCAAGTGATTTAGGGCAAGTCAGAACGAAATGACTTTATATCATTATCATCAAACTAAGCATAAGGAGATTGTGGATTCTAAATGAGTCTCCTCACTTAGTGTTTAACTGTGCACTGGAATACAGAGAGGTTTCCAACAAGGCAAATTATTTACCTTTGACTAGAAAAATAACGTTAAGGAAGGAATCAAATGACACCAAAGGTCACCTCTCCTAATTCATCCTACCCCTCCTGTTTCCCAATCCTCCCCATTATCCCACCCTAGAACAGAAGCACACAGCAAACCATTAAGTATAAGCCACATGTTCTTTTACATCAATGGTTGAGTAAACAACCACTCCCTTGCCCAACCCTTTTCCCCCACTCCCCAAATGAAAATAAGCCTCTTCCAAGAAACTTGGGGGGGGGGGTTCTTTCTTCGTACCAGTTCTGCCTCTATTATAGCACCGACATGCCTTTTAGGTCTCCCTCACTAGTCTCTGAGTTCCTCAAGGGCAAAGATAAAAACCTAACATGTTTCACTGTTTTACTGCGTGCTTTCCCCATTAAACTACAAACTGTAAATCTTTTCCCCCACCTTGTTTAGCACTGAATCCCCAAATATAAACTGATTACTGCTAAACTACTCAGCTGAATAATCTTAATTAAATAGGCGCAAAGCTTTCAGTAAGTGTTCACTAAGTGAACTGAATATGTCTCTATAAATTTTTCAATGAAATACCTTTTTTAAGTCAATTTTAAAAAGTGGTTATCGATGTCCAAACTTTTAAAAATGGTCCTTGTGAATTACTTCCATATATAACACAGGAAAAACCTGGTCTATGATCATGATTAATAACTCTTCAATACCTAAAATAAGTGAAACATAGGAATGTTATTGTGTAGGGTTCTGAGCTGTTTTTTTAGCTTGCCTCTCCACTATTATTAGTCTCTTACTATGGCAACATTACAACTTTTCTAGGGAGAAAGCTTCAAATTCTGCGGATATATCCTGGCCTAAAACTAGTTTTAAAGGCTTCTAAGTCCCTAACGGCAATACACACATGGTTATCCAGTAGAGGAAATTTCCTCTGTAAACTCAGCCTGTCAAAAAGTAAAAGCAAAAGTTCTTTTAACTTCTCAAGAGAACACACCCCATTATAGGGGTTACATTAAATTCCTCCGGCCAAAGATAATGGTTATCTAAGGCAATTTCATGATTCCCCAAAGGTGTTTTTTTTTTCTTTCAGCTAAAACTATGTGAAATGCCACACACGTAAACTTGTTACAATAAAATACCCTTAGTGCCCCTCAAAATATTTGAGTTGTCTTAAAACCAAATCCTTACTGAACAAGCGGCTCACTCCATTCAAAGAAATTTGCAAATGTACTAAAAAGCTTGCAAAACAAAGGAACTATACAATATTACTCTCACAACACCAGAAAACAATATTTTAAAATTCCTAAAACTATTTAAAACGTTGCCTATGGAAAGCAATTGTTTTTCCTTTGGACTCGATCTTGTACAACAATAAAGGATTTAATTTCTCTTAAGCACTGAATGGTTACACATTTTACAAAAACTGCTCTCATCATAACTGCTGAAATTTAAATACAAGATAATGAAGCTTCCAAAAGGCGATTCACTTTACACTTTAAATGAAGACAGGAAGGAATCTGCTTTCCATTTTGGATCTCCACACGTTTTCGGTATTCCTAAAAAGCCAGTTTAACTCTCCTCCCTAAAGTACCCTACATAATGACAACCAAATGGGCCAAAGAGCCCTTTAGTATTCCTGAGGGATCACCAAATCGGACTAATAATTAATCACAAGCATTGCTATGAAGTGTAAGTATACCCAGGGCGCTCCAGAGCTGAGTGACACCTCGTCAGCCTTCTCTTAACCCGCAAACGTAAAACGTAAAGGCAAAAAGTCCCCAACACTGAAGATTCCGCAGCAAAAGAGCTAAGCCAAAGACTAAACAAGAGCAAACACCAGGTCCGCCCTACGCGAAAGGTGAGCTGAAATGTCATACTGGAGGACCAGGAAGACGTCTACTATTAACCTACTACTATCAATTCCCGGGCTGACGCATAGCTTTCCTGCCCGCACGCGCTTGGGTCTGGGCCAACACAACCGGGTAAATCGTAACCAGAGAACTTCATGGGCTTCTCCGCCTCCCTAGCGCTCCTCGGACCTGACAGCCAAATTCTAAACAAGGTAAAAAGGTAGACAACAACCCTCTCTGCAAGGGCCGAGGGCCGGCTCCACCCAGCCCCTGCTCAAGGCCGAGGGGTGGTTCTCTCTCGGACCCGAGTCCAGGGCCGCCGCACAGCCGCGTCGCCTTGCCTCCCACCGCCGCTGACAGCCGACTCCGGCGACCGACGCACTTGCGCCACCCCCAGACCCCCCTTCCCGCCGCAGACCCGAGCGCACTCTCTAAGGTCACCGCCCACCCACACCCTCCCAGACAACGCCCGACGGCCCTCGGGGACCAAGGACGAGTGCCAGGCGCGGGCAGCAGCGCGGGCAGCACCCGGGAGGCGCCCCCGCGGGACCGCAAGATGGCGGCCGCGGCGGCGGCGCCAGGGCCGGGCCCCTCCGCCTCGCCCCGGCCGGCGCGCGCATCGAGCCGCGAGCGGGCGAGGGAGGGAGGGAGCGGGCCGGGCGCGGGGCAGGCAGGCCGAGGGCCGGAGCGGGGCGCCGCCGGAGAATGGAAAGTGCCGGGGCGTGGGGGAGGGGACGCGCACTCGCGGCCCGCCGCCGACCTTCCCTCGACCCCCCACCCACCCTAAATCACGCCGTCCGCCCGCGCCACCCGGACAGCTGCCCTCTCCCTGCCTACCTTTGAATTTGAGGTCTGTGGGCGGGTCGAGGACCAGGATCTGCTCGTGCTTCGCCATGGCCCCGGAGGCGGACGCCATCGGAGAGACAGCGCAGAGCGGGGGCGCGCCCGCAGCGACGGTTTGCTGGCTGGGGGCGGGGGACGGCGGCGGCGCCGGCTCGACCGAGCTCTATGATGGGGCCAGCTCACGGCTCCCGAACCCCCGACGCCTGCCGCTCTGTGGCCGGGCCACTGGGCCGCTCGCTGGGTCAGCAGCTCTGGGACTCACAACTGACTCAACCCCACACCAGCCGCCGCGGCCACGCGCACTGCGATCCTCAGCACCCCACGTGACGGCCTCTGCGTGCCTACGTGCGCGCCCCGGCGGCCGGGAGCCCCTAGCGCTCGTCCCGCCCTCGAGTCCTGCCCTGCGCCGCGCCGGCTGCTGCGCCTGCGCGCTCAGGGCCTCGCGGCCCCTCGGAGCTCGAGCTGTCAAGGGAACGGGTGGGGACAGAGGGCGGAGCAAAACTCCGTGGCACCCCGTTGCGGTGCGCACCGCAAGGCAGAAGGGCGCAATCTTCGGTCACGTTTAGCTCCGACTGCGAAACTGGAGAGCCTGCTGTAGCAGCGCATCACCGTCTTCCAAGTGGGAATGTCTAATAGAAGGAAAGAGGAGTCAGGCTCACTCACTACAATTCCCAGCATGCCAGTGGGGCCTGGTCCTTTTGCGGCACTGCGCGATGTTTGCTGGGAATTGTAGTAGTGGCTGTTTGTGGGCGGGAAGGATAATGAGGTCCGTTGGAGGCGAATGGGGTGGGGCGCGCTGACACTCATTTTTGGCTCTCAGAAAGCGTCTCGTCTGCGCTGAAAAAAAAACTTTTGAAAACTGACCTGAGGTCGCCCGCCTAGAAATATAAAATATAACCTGTGGAAAACAGGACGGGATTTGTCAATTTGTTCTCTAAATCTAACCATCCCTCTATTGGTAGGGCAACCTTCTCTGTCGTATTCCAATCCAACGTCTACTGCTTCCTGAATTCAATCCAGTGATGCAAAAGCAGATGAGGAAACACCCCTCCTTTAGGAAGCAAACCCGCCGTTGGGGAAATCTGACAAGGCACACTTACCAAGCTAGAAATAGAAGTCAAAATCTACAGCGTTCAATTGCGGGCGTCTGTTCTCCGGTTTTATTAAGGATAGACCCAAACCGAAACAGTTGTCACTTTCCGGTGTTGGAAATGAATTCCATCTGCATCATTTATGGGTAGCATGTAGTAAACCGAACCAAATGAGGAAAATCCTGTGAGCAAAGGTGCTGACAAATCTTTAACCGATTGCCAGGGTAATCGGGGACAGGAATATCAAATGAAACAAATGAAGGTGCTGTAGGTAAGCCTGTTACGGTACTACGTGAATTTAAGTCCCTAGGAAGCACCACAAAAGAAAGGACATATTGAGGCTGCTGCCATGAAGGAGCAGTGCAGTTTGTCTTGAAAATAAGTGAGCAAATGAACAGTAATCTAAGTGTAGACACAAAGTCCAAGTTCTCATGTATCGGGGCCCATCTGGGGATAGCCCTCCGGAATAGCTAACCTAGCATCCGCAGAAGATTGTACTACACAAGGAGCATATATCTTAAGCCGTGAAAAACCTAGGAGGATGGGAGTGCTTAAATAGTTGGAAAAGTATATTCTAAATTTACCTTTCCTTTGATTTATTTTTATTCACAAAATTTATTTTGAAATTCAGTCATCCTTAAAGGAGAATACAAAAACTGTATGTTTGTCAAGAGATGGCTTAAGGTCAAAAAAAAAAAAAGTTGAGGTTGACAATCACTCCACGGGATGGTGTCTCACACATCTTTAGCTGTGAACTGACAGCCCTAAAGCTGTCACGAACTGCAATTTTTTGCTTGCCTAAGAACTGTTATCCACGGGCAAATTAGCCTTGGCTGAACTGGTTCCTCCACAGCTAGATGGACATTTCTCTTACCAGAAAGCATTTGGGAATCTCCAGTGTGCAAACAGCAATTAGCAAGTACAGCATGCTGAGGAAGTTCCCTGTCACTCCCATATGGGACAATGGGTACCCATTCACCACCATGAATTCCATGGGAAGTCTGAACTGGCTGTATCCCAGTTTTCCAGTCTATATAATGAAGAAACCTCTGCCCATTTTAAGTCATTACCTTTGAAATCGACTGTTTTTGTCTTCTCAGTATTGCTTCAAATATCATATAGTCTTAGAACTATATGAGAATTTAAATCTCTGGTAGTCTAAATACATGAAACATCTTTGGAATAATTCCTCTATTACTATTTTAGGGCATCGCCTTAATGACTCAGAGTCCTCCTGAATCATCTATCCCTCATTAAATGGTGCACTATTTAAGAGGCTTATGCTTTGGTATTACTAGCTTTCTTTTAGCAGTTCAAAGATCTTTAAAAACATCATCACACTCTTCTCAGAACTACCAAATAACAGCAAGTTTTACTTTTGTTGTTAAATATGGGAATAAGAGCATCTCATGGCAGTAACAGAGCTAAACTTTGGGGAAAAGTTGCCCAATCTTCCATCCTGTGCATTTTTGCTTTTCCCAAAGCCACAATGAAATGACAACTGAAAGTGATTAAGACAATTTAAAATGTAATTGACTTATGTATTGTTTAACATTTAAGTTAGGAATGGACAAACATGGAGCCTAATGTTCATTGTTTGCTCTTCTTATGTTGATTAATGCAGCACATTAAGTTCTCTTAAAGTATTAGCAAATATATAGAGTACATATCTACATCTATATGCATATGCAATGTATATATATACATATATATATACTCAAGCATATTTCTCTAGCTACTAAGAAGTTTTTATGAGTCTAAGATGTATGAAGTTGAATGTTACTTCAACCCACTTGAATCACTAATGGTATTCACCTTTGGACAGATTACCTCATAGGTTTGGCAAGGATAAAAAAAAAGTTACCAGTACAAATGGTAACAAAGTATAACCATCTCCATAGTTAAACATGTTAAATTTTACTTTATAAAAGTACTCTGTAATTATGAATTTGTATAGAATCAATTCTCTGTGTAATACAACTCAGTAAACATTTAAATGGGCATACTTGCAATAAACATTGAGGCAGTAAAACATACTGAGTAAGTACAGGCCTTGGGTCTGACCTGCTGGGTTCAGTCCTCTTTACTACTGTACAGTCTTAGCAAACTTACTTCACCTCTCTGTGCCTGTTCTACATCTGTAAACTGGGGAGAAAAATAATACCTACATCTGAGGTTTGTTGTGAGAATTAAATGAGTTAATGCACACAAAGAGCTTAGGGTAGTGCCTGGATCCAGCATTGTTACCTTATACATGACTGTGTGCCCAGTACTGTGGTAGCTGCTGGTGGTATAGTGGTGAACCAATAGACATGGTCTCTGCTCCCATAGGGCTACATTCAAGCAGGAGAGACAAACATGAAGTATCTCCTTTGCAGCTAGGATTCTGTTCAGACAAGACTTAAAAGTTAGACCTGAGACCGAGGACAGCTTTCTGTCCCTTCTGGATGTTTTTCTGTTGAGGCAAAACCCCCGAGACTTGAGGTTTTCTGCGCCAGCATTCCAGCATCCATTTACTAGCTTCCGGGATATCAAAAGACAGTCAGTTGTTGGGGGTCAGCAGAAGCAGTGGTCCCTTCTTGGGTCCAGCTTCCTGATCCCTGGGTCAGAGGCAAGAGGTGCAGCCTCAGAGGCGGCAGCTGGCCAGGTGCGGCAGGTCAGTCCTGCCCTGGAGTCATTCCTGGGGAGCCTAGTCTAGAGCCTGCTCCTCCACCCCTCACCCCAATGTTATAAGCACCTAATTCCCTTCATTATGTTCTTTCAACTTATGATGTTAGAGTACTGCAGAGTGAGGCATCAGGGAAGCCAAGAGTGGATCAGGAAGGAAGTGGATAGGGTGGAAATCTGCTGAGCTGTTCTAGAAGGCAAGGACTGCAAACCATTCTCCTGACGGAGTAACAAGGATGCTGGGGGTCAAACAGGAATGAAGCAGAGTCACTGCACACAAAGGGATCTGTCTAAAACAGAGAGACATGACGGAGACTGATAACTAAAAGATGTACGAGGCCAGGCAGCATCACGGGAATGCAACACCATGTAAATGGGAATTTGTTGGTGGTGCTTACTGTAGCACATTTGTAAGACTTCAGTGAGAAATATAGATTCCAACAGAAGGCAGATGGGAGCTTCACCAGAAAAAATCAACACTGGAAGAAGAGTTAGAAAAAAAAAAGACTTATCCTGGGGATTTTTCTTTTTATAACCATTTAAAGCAGTTAAAACTATAAAATTAATCATCTTTGTTTATGAAGAATCATTTGAAGAATATGTGTTTTCTCAATCTTTTATGCTGTAAAAGCGATCTGTGCCGTTATAACAAATAACATAATCCAAAAAAAAGCATATGGACAAAAAGTTTCTTCCTACACCTCCCAATTTCTACTCCACTTTGGGTAACCAGTTTAACTGCCTGAGTTATGTATCACCTTCTAACCTTATCCATACTTATAAAAACAGAGCTAATTGGCTTTTCACTGTTGTTGTTTGTTTTTTTAACACGAATTCTAACATATTACCAGACCATTCATTGCTTGATTCACTTTACAGTATACTAACAATATCTGGCCCGGTCAATTGGCAAAGATCTAACTCAGTCTTTTCTTTTTTTCAAGATTTTATTTATTTATTGACAGAGAGAGACACAGCGAGAGAGGGAACACAAGCAGTGGGAGTGGGAGAGGGAGAAGCAGGCTTCCCGCTGAGCAAGGAGCCCGACGTGGGGCTCTATCCCAGGGTCCTGGGATCATGACCTGAGCCACCCAGGCGCCCCCTAACTCAGTCTTTTAACAGCTAAATCCATAGAATAGATGACCCTACTATAGAACCATTTGTTCCCTTATTGATGAACATGTAAATTGCTCTAGGCTTTTATCACAACCAATAGCACTACAATAAACATCCTTATATGCATTTTTTTTATCATAGAATGCTTTTATTTCCACAGGGAGATTTCTAGTAGTGGGACCACTGGATCAAAGATATTTCTTATTTCAATATATATTGCATACTTTTTTGTTAATTGTAAGATATTTAGTTACTTATTTTTAAAGATTGTATTGATTTATTTGTCAGAGAGGGAGAGCACAAGCAGAGGGAGAAGCAGGTTCCCCGCTGAGCAGGGAGCCCGATGCAGGGCTTGATCCCAGGACCCGGGATTATATGACCTGAGCCGAAGGCAGATGCTTAACTGCCTGAGCCACCCAAGCATCGCTATATTGCCT